TTGTTAAGTGAGTTTCATCACATTTTCCAAGTTGGCTACTCCCACCCGGTCACATGGCCGACAAGCCACTCCCACCCAGTCACATGGCCAGCAAGCCACTTCCATAAAGGAGGCCATACCCACAGAGTAGGTTCCAAACATTTTTGAAACCCACCACTGGTCCAGTCCTTTTTGTAGTGTCTTTGGTGTCTTAATTTTCACATGATACTATATGTATATAAAGTATGTTCCATTTGAAACTCACATTTTCTCTGCTATAGTGTCCTAAAATTTTATAGCCCAGTGTTTTTCAATTTCGCAGCTTTATGATGTATTGAGTTTTGTGTTGGAGTTCAGTGGTGCAATTCTCAAAACCATGTGGTTTTGGAATTTTTACAGTTGTGGTCAGAACACATATGGAAGTTTCTAGATTAGGTAGACTCGCGTTCATCTGGTAAAAAAAATCACATTAAAAGAAAATACGTGTCAAGGTAAAGTTTATTTTAGTCATGAAACAGTTCTTTTGAAATTCTTTATTTTCAGCAAGAGGCATCTGCTTACTTTTTAGAACATTGCTTACAGGTACCAGATGATTCTTTTAATAGGATTGTTTATTATATTTCTACTTTGCTTCAATCAGGATGAATTACATGATACACTTTAAGTTAAGACCCAGGGTAAGTTTCCAACTAGTTACAACAATGATTAGGACATCAGCCCTGGCACACGACACTAAGGATATAAAAAATGATGATAACCAGAAAATAAACAAGACCTGGAAAGCAGTTTGTCCATTGACACAGTGACAATAACACAATTTTTAAAAGATTCCAGAAAATCAACATGGACAAGGCCAGTGTGATCTCCAAAATACAAAGGAGCCCTGGTGGCACAGTAGTTAAACTGCAGTATTCCCAGAGCCTGGAATTTGATCTTGACAGAACTGAAGGTTGACTCAGTTCTCCACCCTTCTGAAGTTGGTAAAATTAGGACCCAGATTGTTGGGGGCAATATGCTGACATTATAAACCATTCAGAAAGTGCTATAAAGCACTATGAAGCAGTATATAAATGCTATTGTTACTGGAATTTTCAGAGAAACAATGCCAAGTAGCCTTAGCATGTCAAATTTTTGAGAAGTGAGACATGACACTTCTCTATAACAGTTCTGATTGGATTGATACTGGTTAGAGCAGGCATTCTGAAAAATGTCCAACCTTATATAGGTCAACATTAGCATCTTAAATTCTACTCGGAAACTTACTAGTAGCCATTGCAGCCTGAAAGGTTGATGTTGTATCTTCCAGAATAAGTGCTAGTTTCCAGGTAGACTGTAAGAACAGCCCCAAATGTTTTGAAATTGAAATGTATTGAAATACTTAATATATGTGATAATGCGGGCATTGCTGAAACTAAGTCATTTTGCCCCAGGTATGGCCACAATTTTGCACCGCCATACATGAGCATAGACCCCTCAGGCCATGGCCTCCATGTACCCCTCAGTTGAACTGGAAAAAATATAGCTTTGTGCTTATTGGCTAAACATAAGTAAAGAAAACATTTCACTGGCAAAAACAGACTAAAGTCAGGGCGAAACAGTGAGTAAGAGATTAATAAAGGCAACATTTTATATTATTTTTATCTATGACTTAAAAGGTACAACATGAATAGAAACTAGTATGAATAGTCTTAAAGAGTAGTCTTTGGTAATTCAGATTTAACCCTTTTATGTACATATCAATGCATATACACACAGTGTGTGTATGTGCAGTTCTATTAACCTGCATTTGTGAATGCTTGCTATAAACACTTAATTCAGAAAAGAACTTTATTTCATTTTTCCTTTTTATTCAATGTATTCAGCAGCCTGTAATATTCATAAATGTAAGATAAAGCAATATCACACACAAATAAAAACAATTACAAATTGTAGATAACGGTCACTTGGAAAACACAGTAATTTATGAACAGCACAGCCATTTTATGGGCTCCACATCACCCTGATCTCCAGGCCATCAAAATTGGGATCAGACTGATATTGGAGAAAGGCTCTTTCACAAACAGCAGCAGCAAAAAAAAAAAAAAAAAATCTCCTCCTGGGTATTAGCAGGTGACACTTTGAAGTGGACAGACTGCAACAAGTCTCTTCTGCCAGATCTGATGATGTGAGTACATGGCACTGGAGGGGAGGGTGTCTCTCAAATAAGCTAACCCCATACCAAATAGGGCTTTAAAGGGTATCACCAGCAATTTCAATTGGTCCTAGAAGCAAATTGGTAATCAGTACAACTCGAGCAGAAAGATAACTTATATGTGTAGATTCACGGACAACTGCATCATGCTATTGCATTTTGCACCAACATTAGTTCCAAATAATCTTCAAGATAGTCCCATATCAATGCATAATTTATATATGAAAGATGACTAGGGCATGAGTGACCTGCATGTAGAGCCTCCTGTTCCAGGAACAGCACACAAAGAACAGTCATTAGTGCAGAAGAACGCCAATTGTGCATTGGATCTGTCTTGGGAATTAGTACTTAAGGGGTATATAAATATTTTCTATAGGTTGTGTTGCTGGTGAAAGAAAATCCTCTTTTGACAGAAGTTGAAGCAATGCAGAAATGTTACAAAATATTGGATCTGATCTGTGAGAAGTGCATGAAGCAGAGAGAAATGAATGAAGTCCTTGCAATTAAAATGCACTACATTAGCTGCATTTTCAAAAAATGTATTCTTTTCCTCGAGCGGGAAGACAAATTGGATGGATTAATCAAAAGGTATGCTATTTTTTCAATAGATGGTTCTTTTCAATACAATGTATTATCTGCACAAGTTCAGATTCTTGTAGTTTTAATGTTAAACTATGAAACTGGAGCTTCTTATTAAGTCATTGGGATGGATGCATATTTGACACATAAGGTAAACATGCCTTATGTTTCAGTTTTGTATGTTAGCTACAGCTGAAGGAAAAATTACATGGGTATACATAGTATATTCTTTAGAAATTAAAATCCAATCCTATCATCTTTGAAGTAAAAGAATATACTGCTCTCACAAAACTTGTACATTAAATATTTGCATTGCAGGTTTTCTTTATGTTGTGATCTTATGCTACACACATAACATTTGCATGCGTAGGAAGAAAAAAACATGGGCAACGTATGTAACTTCAGCTGTATTCACCTTTAATTTCAGCCTATTAAAAGGCAGAGAGAGAGATGGATTTCCAGTTTATCAAGAGAAGATCATCAGGGAATCTATTCGAAAATTTCCTTACTGTGAAACTACCTTGCTGCAGCAGCTTGTGAGAAACATTTCTCCTGTTGAAATTGTGAGTGTATCTTGATGAACAGTATGTCTGTTCTGTATAGACTGAACATTTAGAATCTATAAGATACTATTTTAGTGTGCGTTATTTACACATGTTCACTGTAACCAAATTTTAATTAATGTGAAGAACTGGGGGGACACAACTTTCTTTCTGCAAATTTGGTTCTTTGGGTGGTTATCTCAAAGTGTTCTGTACATGCTTCCTCATGTTTTTTTCAGAAATTATCTTTTGCCTTAGCTCAGCTTTTGCTGATTTTTTAAGTTTCTAAGACTCGCATAGCAGTCATGAAAACCTAAGGTACCAGGTATTATGGATTCTTTTAGTGTCATTAGCTAAACATTTGGAGGAAAAACAACTAGCACTTAGCACAAACATGAATCAATCTGACACTGACTGCAGGGGGGTGGGGAAGCTATCTAAGCAGATGCTTCAGTGCATCAGTTAAAAGTTATCTAATCCAGGATAACTGATTTGAACACAATCAGGCAACAAGACAGAAGCAGCAACTGTGCTTCCAAGCTTATTCTGCTTTGTCCTTCTCTTTCCTTTCCAATTAACATAGGGAGGAAATATGGAATCATGTTTTACAAATTCTTACAGGTCTGATATAAGGCAGTGACTAGCAGCAGTCTAGAAAAGAATGGCAGCAGCACTCTACAGAAAGAACAACAGGCTTAGCACAATATATTTTCTTAATAAAACATAATAGAAAAAAGATGAGCACTGACTTGCTGGTTGGTAGCCCAATTCAGGAAGAAGCCAATTTCAAGTAATTAATCAAAGATATAGTTGCTCTAAATGTTTACAAGGCAAACACCTTTTGGAAATTTCTGGCAGTTTAGCTGATTGGTTCAGCAGTGACATAATCTAGGAATTAGCATGGATACCAAACCCTCAATCCTTCCAACAGAAATTTTTCGAGAATTTGTACAGCAAAGAAAATATATTACAAGACAGTATCAAACAATACTTAAATACAAGGAATCTACATGAAATTGAAATAGAGAGAAGAGAAATACTAAACAAAAAAAATCACAGTGATAGAATTAAAGGAAGCATTGAAGAGACAAAAAAATAATAAAACACCGGGCGGTATACCTGTAGAATTTTATAAAGCCATGCAAGAGCAGACAGAAACAACGATTTTAGACTTATTTAATGAAGCACTTATAGAAGCAAAGTTACCAAAATCATGGAGGGAAGCATATATAGCATTGATACCCAAAGACGATTCGGACCATGAACAAATAAAAAATTACAGACCAATTTCTTTACTAAATGCAGATTATAAAATCTTTACATCAATAATGGAAGAGCAAATTAAAAAAAATATTAA